GATTACAATCGTTTGTATTGTGCTAGAGATGTTATATTTAAAGAAGTACTGTTACGATAAAGATACTAATTTGGCCGGAAATGTTTTGCGGGTCTCTGCTATTTCTATTTATTGAATGAAATCAACGCTATTTTCTACTTCCTTGTTCTAATTTTATTGAAGTTTCACCTTAATGGTTATTCTGTTAGTTCCTGTAAAAACCACTTCAGCTATTCCTTCTCATCAGCTTTCTGAAGCATGAGTCTGTTTCCAAAACAGATCTCTACAAGATTTTACGATAAACTTCAGAAAGGTGGAAAAAGTGAAATGTTTTTGGAAAATGAATTGATTGTAAATATTTTGAATGTTGACATCAAAGTTTATAAGTTCTAAACTCTCTCTACCTATGATTGATGTAATAAAATTAAACGAAGATAGCATCAGTTGGATGATTTATTCGTAGAACTTCTCGATACTGTCACTTTTGATTATTCAAGTTTGACTTGTTGTTGAATTCAATCAGGATCCTACTAAAACCAGTGAAATTAAATTAAAGATATTTGTTAAAAACAATGTATTAATGGAGGCAGAATATTTAGCTATTAGACCATCGGAGAGATTTTCAAGAGTTGTTTGAGTGGTTTTTCCCAAAGTATGTAAAGAAAAATATCCATTCAAGAGTATATGTTCAAATATTGGTACTTGTAACTGTGAATTAACAGAAGTTTAATTGAAAGTTACTAGCACTAAATGTTATTGAAGAAATACATCAGTGAGTTTGAAAATAAGGTTTACTGTGATAGTTTTGACGTTGATTCGTTTAGAAGAAGCTGAATAAGGAACTGACATCGTAGGCCTTACAGTACTGTGTGGTGCTGTCGGTCTTTGAAGTAAAGGCTATTGTTAGAGAAATCTTTCTTGTTGAGGTACTACACAGTCTTGAGTAATTTCTATATAACCCAATATACTTAATAATTGAGAATATGAGCATCTGTTTCAGGGCACGTGTATGATAGCTACACCTAAGAACTGAATTTTTACATTTTAAATGATGAGTAAAAAACTCTTTCCTGTAAATATAAATTGATTTACTTGTGGGAGCATTAAAAATGCAGGCTGTAGGATAATTTATATAACATTTAGAGCTTCGATAAGAATGGTTAGTATTAGTAAATGGTTGAGGAGGCTTCTTCATTGGACATGTACATTTGAGATGAATGGTTAAACATAGATGCTGATTGCAGGATTTTTTTTTTAAACAAAAATATTTAATGTTGGTGTTGAAGGCATATAATGTAGTTCTTGTTATATACACAATGCTACATTGGTTCCACCACCAGGTGGATACAGACACCATATATTCCTTCAGTGAACGTGACAGTGTGTTAACTAAGCTCAGACTTTGATGAAACTTTACTGTACCTTGCTAGATGAGGAGTCCCGCAGCTTGAGCCCACCACTCTCAATGATCAGTTGTCTTGTCTGTTGGTCACCACATCCAGGCATGGGCCGGGTAAGATCAAGATTTAAATAGTTCTGCTCACGTAATGTCTGGAACAACAGCAGATTTATTACAAACCCAGCTTAGTAAATGGGCTTTCCTTTCTAATTACAAATCTTAATTAATAAAGAGATTTTTAAACTTAACCAAATGAAAATAACCCACCTTCTCCACTTCTTCATTGATGTTATCGATAACGTCATAGCTCTCTATCCGGCTAAGAATTGAAGCTAGTAGTTTCTTTTCATGATGGTGAGATATACTTGAATTAACGTTGAGAACAAAAGATTCGACACTTTCTTTCTGACAAATGAAGAACATAAATGTTAGTTTGATCCCAACTGTTTTTTTGTGAATTACTAAACATTTTTTGTAACAAGATTCAAGAGGTTAAAAATAAAGAATACAACAGTCTCTAACAGTAGAAGTTTTCAGATATACAGAGATTAAAATAATACTATTTCCTGTGTGTGGTTTCTTAAATATCTAAAAGTTTAACATCGATAGCAGTTTAAAATATGTACATTGTTTTTAGAAAGTACAGGGTGCGCAAGTTATTTCATGCCTTCTGTTGCTTATAACTCCCAGGTAATGTACATTAGAGGAGTTAAAACTGGATACACACTTACAAAAGCATTATGTTGGGTGGCACATGTATTGGTTGACCTAAAGGTGACTCTGTGGGCTAGGTTTATCAGTGGTGCATGTTAGCTAACATTGTTTTACCAACCCTATATGAAAGGGGCATTCACCTAAACGCTGTCTTCTGCAACAGGTTTTATAGTCACTGAGTAAAATGTACCCTTACTGTCTACATATAACTGTTGAATTTACATTTGTTACAATATGCAATATCTTTGTTCTATAATACATCTATAAATGCTCTTATTTGCAGGCAACAGTAAATAAACCATGGAATTATTTTTCAAGTAAACAATATTACTTCCAGGTAATGTACCATTTAAAACTTACCAAAATATATTTTCTGTGTATTATAAGTCTTCCTTAAGTAAGAAATTCAAAGAAAGTATTTCTCAGCGACACCTTCTTGCCATCCACGGTACTCAGTTCAGCATAATATTAAAGACAGATTATTTCAATAATCCCTCACTCTGCTAACAAATATGGTTTTGGAATAATAAGCAATGGAATGCATGAAATTAATTTATAGTCACCCCGTTGTAGCAAATTAATTTATAGTCACCCCGTTGTAGCAAATTAATGTATACAATGGGGTGACTAGGGTGACTATAAATTAATTTGCTGTTGTAGCAAATTAATTTATAGTCACCCTGTTGTAGCAAATTAATTTCAGTGTTTTTAGTATCTTATCATCTCAATTTAATGTATTGGTAATGGTAAAAATATAATTTGTCTGACGAAGGTAACTCTCTTCAAGACTTACCATTTCTTCCAAGGCTTTTTTCTGCTCCTCATCATCAGTTTTCTTCTGTATGGCCTTGAGAAGGAGTGAGTATTTGGTCAGTCGCTGAACCGGCTTGACCAAGAGATCGGTAAGCTGTAGCCGATCACATTCCTTCCTGGTCTCACACCACTAGAAGGTCAAAGGCCAATTTTACTTGCACAAAAGGTATGATTTATGTGAACACTAGTTACTAAGAGTGGTTGTGTTAAAAACTAAAAATACACAGAACTCACTGGTGCCATCTAGTGGCTATTATGTTAGCTTAAAATAAAATGTTTGTATTGATGAAAATGTGACACTTACGATAACATAGGCTTTAAACAGCTCATTTTCCTTGTTCTTGTCTTTCACGTACTGTAGACAACAGTCATGTTCTGTACAATACTTGATATATGGCCAGAAGAGTTGGTCACACTGCCCAAAAAAGGTCAACAAACATCAGGAAATAAGATGGAATTAATACATATAGACATTTACACAACTGTATTGAACCTCTCAAGTATTACTGCCGTTTTCTAATAGATATAACGTACCTTTAGAAATCCATCTTTCATGAGAACCGGGTTTAAAGGCTGCTTCGTAGACCTGCTGCTGTTTAACATGGGAAGGAGTTGATCAACCCAAAACTGATGGTTTGCCGTGTAAACGTCCCGGATGTTACAGAACAGCTTGTGTGTGTCAATCTGAAACAAATTAAATCAGGCTTAACAATGGCACTCGGGAACTACACATATAAATCATGTTTCAAACATTTATCTAATATATGATGATATTGTGTTTAAACTAAAAGTGATTTAATGGAATCAGCCACTGATTTTTACTTGGATATTTGTTTTGACAAGGTGGTGAAGCTTTTAAAATGTATGTTCATTTTGAGTTCTTTCTAAAAAAATACAACAAACTCAATGACAAGTTTGTCTTGAGACTCTCACAAATATAAAAAATTCAGTGAGTTTTGTCTTGAAACACACAAATTAACAGTTTCTGTCTTGAAATGCACAACTTGACAGTTTTGTCTTGAAATGCACAACTTGACAGTTTTGTCTTGAAATGCACAACTTGACAGTTTTGTCTTGAAACCACAACTTGACAGTTTTGTCTTGAAATGCACAACTTGACAGTTTTGTCTTGAAATGCACAACTTGACAGTTTTGTCTTGAAACATACAACTTGACAGTTTTGTCTTGAAACATACAACATAAAAAAAACTGGAGAAGTGGGTATGACTCCAAATTATCTGGTTACATTACAGATATATAATTAACCACTGGAAGACAAACACTGTTTATAGCACTTGAATATATAGACACAACTATAACAGATTACTGGACACAATTGTAAAGTTAGAACATGGACTAACTAAGATATAGACACGACTATAAGAGATTACTGGACACTATTGTCAAGTTAGAACATGGACTAACTAAGATATAGACACGACTATAAGAGATTACTGGATACTATTGTCAAGTTAGAAAATGGACTAACTAAGATATAGACACAAGTAAAGAGATTACTGGATACTATTGTCAAGTTAGAACATGGACTAACTAAGATATAGACACAAGTATAAGAGATTACTGTATATTATTGTCAAGTTAGAACATGGACTAACTAAGATATAGACACAACTATAAGAGATTACTGGATACTATTGTCAAGTGAGAACATGGACTAACTAAGATATAGACGACAAGTAAAGAGATTACTGGACACTATTGTCAAGTTAGAACATGGACTAACTAAGATATAGACACGGAGTAAAGAGATTACTGGACATTATTATCAAGTTAGAACATGGACTAACTAAGGTATAGACACAAGTAAAGAGATTACTGGATATTATTGTCAAGTTAGAACATGGAATAACTAAAATATAGACACAAGTTTTAGAGATTACTGGACACTATTGTCAAGTTAGAACATGGACTAACTAAAATATAGACACAACTATAAGAGATTACTGGATACCATTGTCAAGTTAGAACATGGACTAACTAAGATATAGACTCGACTATACGAGATTACTGGACATCTTAGTTAGTCCATGTTCTAACTTGACAATAAGTAATCTCTCTACTTGTGTCTATACAACACTTTTATTATCATACTTACTTCATTGAGTATCCCTTCACACTGCAGGTTACACAAACAGGTTAGGAACAGCTGGAAAGAAGAAACACCTGGTTCACACAACACTTTACCTTCCTTGACTACTAATGTGTACATAATATATATATTGCTACGTTGTCATATTAGTGGTGATGTGGAATAAGACCTCACAACAATTTGAATTACAAACATGTTTCCAGTTAGGGAGGACTGCATACTAACATTAGAACTTTGTTTAATATCTGAATATAAGATAATGTGATTTAAATTTTCAATATCACACATGTATCCCTACCCACTGTGACCATGTTCTACGAACAAAGGGGTCCTACACCCAAAATCATGTTACCTTTGGTATTCTTCATCACATCTATATAATCTGTAACATACATACTTGGAACACAGATCTTCCCGAGATGTGTTTGGTGTTAAATCTTAACTAGAATATTATTAAATAAAAAAAACCTTGCACTTACATCAGTGATGACTTTTAGTCTTTTGATGAAGAATATTTCTGTCTGAAGAAGTTCCCATATAGCATCCTGTTGATTCTTCATTTTGTCACTCAGATCCTGAAAAATAAACGTAATCAACTTTTTTAAATTTAATACACAAATGCACCTCATCAAGTGGAGAGAAGTTAGGTAGTACTACAATGTAAAGTGACAAACAATACAAGTAACTTCTGAGTATGTGATTTACAGCAAGTTTAATAGAGAGAAGTTAGGTAGTACTACAATGTAAAGTGACAAACAATACAAGTAACTTCTGAGTATGTGATGTACAGCAAGTTTAGTGTAGAGAAGTTAGGTAGTACTACAATGTAAAGTGACAAACAATACAAGTAACTTTGAGTATGTGATGTACAGCAAGTTTAATAGTGAGAAGTTAGGTAGTACTACAATGTAAAGTGACAAACAATACAAGTAACTACTGAGTATGTGATTTACAGCAAGTTTAGTGTAGAGTACATTAGGTAGTACTACAATGTAAAGTGACAAACAATACAAGTAACTTCTGAGTATGTGATTGACAGCAAGTTTAGTGTAGAGAAGTTAGGTAGTACTACAATGTAAAGTGACAAACAATCCAAGTAACTTCTGAGTATGTGATTTACAGCAAGTTTAGTGTAGAGAAGTTAGGTAGTACTACAATGTAAAGTGACAAACAATACAAGTAACTTCTGAGTATGTGATTGCTGTAAATTACATACTCAGAAGTTACTTGGATTGTTTGTCACTTTACATTGTAGTACTACCTAACTTCTCTACACTAAACTTGCTGTAAAGTTTAGTGTAGAGAAGTTAGGTAGTACTACAATGTAAAGTGACAAACGATACAAGTAACTTCTGAGTATGTGATTTACAGCAAGTTTAGTGGAGAGAAGTTAGGTAGTACTACAATTTAAAGTGACAAACGATACAAGTAACTTCTGAGTATGTGATTTACAGTAAGCAATATTAGATATACCTGCCAGTTCTCCACGATTTCTTTCCAGTGATTTTCTAGTTTGTAAGTATCTCCACTTGAATCGTGAAAGGTCAACAACCCTGGGTGTTGTGGTATACCTTGGACACTGTACTGGTTCAACAGATCTGTAAGGAGTTCCATCTTATCCTTCTCCTAGTAAGTTTATACCACACATTGTTAAAGCAATCCAATAATTCTGATTTATGATAATAATACCACACATTGGTAGAGCAACCTAACAATTCTGATTTATGATAATAATAATAATACCACATTGTTAGAGCAACCTAACAATTCTGATTTATGATAATAATAATAATACCACATTGTTAAAGCACCCTAACAATTCTGATTTATGATAATAATAATAATACCACACATTGTTAGAGCAACCTAACAATTCTGATTTATAATAATAATAATAATAATAATACCACACATTGTTAGAGCAACCTAACAATTCTGATTTATGATAACAATAATAATACCACACATTGTTAGAGCAACCTAACAATTCTGATTTATGATAACAATAATAATACCACACATTGTTAGAGCAACCTAACAATTCTGATTTATAATAATA